CATTTTGCCCATTTATATTCAGTGTACTTACTGATAGGTATGAATTTATTACCATCATTTTATAGTGTATGTTTGTTGTAATGTGTGTGTATTGCTGTTTCCTTTGTTAAGATAGTTTTCTGTGCTGAGTTCATTTTGTTGGTGAGTTTTCTTGTCTTTTTTTTTTTTTTTTTTCATTCCAGTTCTTATAGTGTTTACTAACAGATTTTACTCTTTTATTTTGATGAGAAGACTTATTACTTTCTTTGAGGTTATTTTTTTCCTCTTAGTTTATAACAGAGTTTGTGGCTCTAGAGGGTAAACACTAGACTCCAAAACATAGTTCAAGCCCACCAGCCATTCTGCTGGAGAAAGATGAGGCTTTCTGGTTCTGCAAAGATTACAGCCTCTGAAGCCCTATATAGAGTCACTGTGAGTCAGAACAGACTCAGTGTTTAACAGCAACAACATTCTTTTTGCAAATCAACCTGAGGCCCTGTTCATTTGGAAGTTCTGTAACTACACTTTTAATTGCCTCTTTATACTTTGTAACTGCCATAGTTTACAAATTGCTGTCTCTAGTTCCCTATCTTCAGTCTTAAAAATTTGAAGTTCTTTTAGTTTGTTTTCATTTGGAAATGCCCTCATTACACCATTGTATTTGGGATAAATTTTTGCTGTATGTACAGTTTTTTTTTCCTATCACAGTTTTATATACAGTTGCCTTCCTGCCTGTGGGGTTTCTACCTAGAAATCAGAGCTTAGTCTTATGGTTCTCCATTGAAGGAGACTCTCCATTTTTCCCAGACTGCTTTCAGGATTCTTTCTTTGTCTTTCATTATGGAAAGTTTGATTATATTATGCTTTGGTGATTTTCTTTTGGAATCTGTCTGTCCTGTTTGGGGTTCATTAAACTTCTTGAATGTATATTTTATAGTTCATATTGGGAAAGTTTTCTTTTAGTCTTTGACAATTTTCTCTGCACTGTAACTATATATTTTTTCCATCTCTCCTGTTCTGGAATCAGATCGCACCACAGGTTATCTCTTTTGACAGTGTCCCACATAATTCTTAGCTTTCTTCACTTGTTTTTATTTATTTATTTATTCTGATTGTTCCTTTAGCAAATTAATATTGAAAGATTTGTATTTAATCTCACACATTTTGCCTTCCATAGTTTCAATTTTATGTGTTCGCCCTTTTAATGCATTAACTATATCTGAAATCATAGCAGTAATCTTCTGGATATCTGTTTGCTGTTTTTGTATGGTTTCTAATTTTTAATTGTTTTCATGAATTCTTCTAATGTGTTTTCCCTGATTTTCATCTGCAGCATTCTCAATATTTCTAATCCATTGAAATTACCAAATATAAATGCCATTTTATCCCCTGAAAGGTTTTCTGGCTCTGTATTCAGTTCTCTTGTTTGAGTCACACTGTCTTGTTTTTTTCATGTTATTTTTATTTGGTGAGTGCATGTTGGTATGATCTTAAGCCCCTACCACCTTTCTCCTAGTGGGTGGTAGAGGATGGGGATTGTGTGTAGCTTTCTCTTTGCTGTTCATGCAGCACAGTTGAGGGCAGAATGGGCTGGTGTTGGCCACCATGTAGCCTTGTCCAGATATTACAAGATGGGTGTTGGCCAGTGACTGGAGCTGTAGGACTTTGGTTTTGCCTGGTTATGGCCATGGTTGCTGTGTCTTAGGAGGTGGGCAAGACAAAATAAAATGAGGCATGAATAATCGGCAAAAATAAGAAAAAGAAAAGTAGAGAGGAAAACAAGCAAACAACAAGAAAACATAAATTAGTAACTAATAAGAAAATGAAAGGTGAATACAAACAAGGTAGGTTAAAAGAAAAAAGGATAATAAAGAAAAAAAACTTGAAGGAAAGAAAGACAAATATAAAAGATTAACAGGAAAGGAAAAAAAATATGAAAGAAGACTGGGGAGAACAGGGTACAGAAAGGAGATCTCATGCGGGGTGGGGAGCATCCAGTATGGTTCGGCACCCTCTGACGAAGAGTTGGAGGGGGAGCAGAAAGAAGGGAGGATGTTAGACACCAGCCCTAGATAGAGTTCCTTCTGGTCTAAAAGTCAGGGCCTGTTCCCAGGAGAAGCTCTTTGGGGCACAAAGAACAGCTGGGGGCAGGGCACCTAGTTCCAGAAGGAGTCCCTGCTCTCGCAGATATGGCTGGGGTCAGGGCACCCAGCCAGCACGGCATGTTCTGCTGGTGCAATGAGGTAAAGTGTCTCCAGACGTGGAGGTGGTTTACCCCTGGTACCCGATTCACAGGCACTTGCCTCTGACCCCAGGTGGAGCAGGAACTGTGCAAGGGAATGGAAGTATCACCAGTCGCTAGGTGGGTGAAGGTGAGGGTTGGTCACTCTCTGGTTACCAGAAGGGTGTGGAGAACTAGGGAAGGACTACACCTTTGTGGTTGCCAGCTACCAGTTTGGGTACAGTATTGGGGAACAGAGTCAGTCACCAGGTCGCTGTCCTAATACAACACTGTTTACAAAAATTCAAAATGGCCAAGTTGCGTCAGTCCAGCTGACAGTCCACCGTTTGCTTTTGTTGTCTTGCTCACCAGTTTTGTTCAGCGGCTCCTTCGAGTCAATATTCAATCCACTTTTCTATCCTTTCTTCCGAGGCTTGGGGTTTAAGGATTGTCTGTCATTTTTTTTATACAAAATTAGTGCAGAGATTCTGACTTCTTCTGTCTAAAAGTGTTATCTTTCATACTTGTTAATTTGATTAAACCAAAGGATTTAAGAAAGTATCAAAATGAAATAATTTCCTTTTTTGAAAAGACCAATTTCTAGAACACAGGGACTTTTCCAGGTAACCTTGGAAGTCGGCTTGCTATTTAACAGTGTCCCGGGCTTTGGGTCGCAGCAGTGGTTGGTCCCGTCAGCTACCCTGGGCCAGGGGTCTGCCCGTCCGTCACATGTTTAACTCACTCACTCCCTGTGGGTTCCTCACACCCTCACTTTGTTGTTAAATGCTGTTGAGTCTGTTCCAACTCATAACAACCCTGTATAGGGTTTCTGCGGAGTGGCTGGTGGATTTGAACTGTCGAATTCGCTGTTCAAATCAACCTTACAATCTAGTTGAAAACCAAAAGGGGTAGGTATTCAGCTTCTCAGGCTGAGGAGTGGCTGAACTCCATGGCCCCATCCAGGCTGGCTTAAGGTAACCCTGGTCCCAGAAGCCTCCAGGGGCAGGTGTGAAATGGGACTGCTCCAGGAGGGCTCTGGTCTCCAGGGGTCTAAGTGTTCAGAGTGGCTTCTATCTAGAGCACCTGCCAGGCAAAGTGATTCTCAGCTGCCATGTGAACTCTGAGTCCCAACACCATGTTGTCAGCCCTCAAGGGTCCATTCTGTGAGCAGGGCTCCTCCCCAATCTAGGCAGGGTCACTTCATCTCTAGTCCCTAAGAATACAGGAAGAAACAAACTCTTTAAGTAGGACTTGACCTTCTTCTGAGAATCTGCATTTCCACTCCAAATGTGGTGGTGGTAGATATGTACTGTGGAGTTGGTTCAAACTCATAGCGACCCGGTGTAGGGTTTCCAAGGCTGTAAATCTTTACAGGAGCAAAAAGCATCACCTTTCTCCCGTGGAACAGCCGGTGGTTTCGAACTGCTGACCTTGAAGTTAGCAGCCATACTCATAACCACTATGCTATCAGAGCTCCTTACTCCAAATATACTGACTCAGAATTTAAAGTTGCCCATGCTGCGAACCTAAAGGCCAGCAGTTCGAAACTACCAGCCACTCCGCGGGAGAAAGATGAGGCATTCTGCTCCCGTAAAGATGTACAGCCTCAGAAACCCTGTACAGGGTCGCTATGGGTCAGAAACAACTCGACTCAACGGCACTTAACAATAACAACATTCACATTACAAGCAGAGCCTCCTACTGTGGGAAATTCAGCTGGTTTTCAGGACCACCCACCCCAGGGTGAGCTGCTTCGGAAGCAGGTAGACTCCCTTACTGGCTCTGTAGTTCTGGCCATGTACCATCACCCAGCTGTGCCTGGGAAGGGAAGCAGGAGGGTTTCTTGAATCATGGGGCTCAGGGGACAGGGTGGGTGGGCAGTGCAGTAGGTAAAGGGTTCACATCATTATTTATTCTCAGCTGATGACAGCTGCCTTGCTCTTGATGCCCTTTAAAGGACATTCTAGAGGTTGACTGGGTGAACTCTGCCTATAGAATCTGCCTTCTTGTCACGTGGCATCATTTGGGCATTTCCTTCATGGTTATAGAACCTGACAAGCACTTCACTAACATACCCTGACCTGCCTTTAATCCTTGGGACATGGGTAGGAAACTTAGGAATTGTGAAGCGAGTGTTGAAAAAACAAGGTATTTTCTAAGACCTGACTGCACACACTCCTGTGGCCTCTGAATTCGTCAGGTGGACCATAGCTCATGGAGGCTCTGATCAACAAAACTCCACAGTGTGAGCTTGGCAAAGGGTTGTTGCGCTGATCATCAGTCTCCCTTTGAGTGCTGTAAGGCCATGTGGCCAGGGGTGCATATGTGGATCACTACAGAGCATCCCAGGGGTGGCCCTGCAGAGAATAACTGTCCTTCCATGGCATCTCCTTAGGGTGGGTGCATGGGAAATGGTGCATTTCTTTCCTATTTCTCATCCCTTTTGTAGTTTCACAAAAACTCATGGATTCAAAGTGCTAATGGGCATTACCTAAGTTCCCCCCACAGGTCTTTGGGAGAGTCAAATGTTGACTCACCAGCCAGCCCCTGCTGCACTCACTCACTGGGACTGAGCTCCAAGCCTAACACCCAGCTTTGGAATCTATGTGTGTCTTTGAGAGCAGCATGAAGTCTGGCTGGGCTGTCTGTGGGTCCCCACCAGGATAGGGAACAAGACACCTGGCACACAACACTAGACAGAAGGGGACACTGGGCTCAGAGCTGGGGCTCAACCAGACAAAGGAGGATGGGCAGGTTGCTCCTATCTTGTCACTGATGTACCTGACTTTTGTTCTCTAGGAGGAGTCTTCCAAAGGCAAAGGTCATGGACTTGCTTATATCCATGGCCATCTTGTCTCTATTCTTCAGCTGCATGGGTGTCTTCAGCCTTTTCAAGTTGCTGCAGCGGATGCGCATGAAGGCCTACCTGCAGGACGCTGTTGTGGTCATCATGGGTGCCACCTCTGGGCTGGGCAAAGGTAGGTTCTCTGGTGGCCGCCATTTGTAGGGTTGAGACACATGAGTAGAGCAGGTTGGGTGATGTGGACAGGCAGTGTGTCCTATTCTCTGTACAACTGCATTGGAGTTCTCCATGAAGAAGGGCTACAAGGCACCCTGTATCACAGGGATCACCTGGGTGCCCCATCTTCAAGTGTGCCCATACAGCCTGCTCATCATGTGTGCCAGGCTCTGTGCCACATGTCTAGGACAGGGAGAGGGGCCATGATGTACCATAGGATTTTGCTCTTTCAGCAACAGAGGGCATATTTGTGTGTGCCAGGCCGGCACTGAGTATTTTACCTGCATTATCTCAGTGTTGTTGCCACAAGTCGGATTCACAGGTGTGACTTGCCCTAGGACTTCCAGTTAGAAAGAGCCTCTCTGGCTCAGGGCTCACCTGAGTGCAAGATGCCTGGTGAAGGAAGGTGGGTCCAGGGGGAGCAGCCTGGCTTTGCCACAGGACAAAGACACAGGCAGGGCCTTGTCTGGGGGTAAATGGCTTATAGTGGGAAGTGGGGGCAGGCTGCGTGGAGAAGGCTCAGGGAAGACTTTAGGGAGAGTGATTTCATGGCCATGCCACTGTGGATGTCAGACAAGATCTCAGGTGAACCTAGGCCTGTCACCAGATATTGGGACAGTTGTTTGACCTCGGTCAGCTCCTATATATAGGCGGTGAGCAGCTGCATCTCTTGATCCCAGAGAGAAGTAGTTCTTCAAAGTTACTGCTAAGTATCTGAGTGGTAGGCCAGAAGGAGAGCATGAGTGGCAGCTATTCCAGTGGAGAAGCATGAGAAGGACATTGTCTTCCCCACTGGTTCTCGTCCACACACCAAACTGTTGGGGAAAATGAACCTACAGTATGTTATGGCAGCCATGTCCTCCAAATCACTCTGTTCATGTTCTGCCCCAGATAACAGTGTAGGCACAGTTCCTATGTCTCTCTCCCATCCACCTGGATAAACTTGGAACTGGTTCTTACCAGCCATTTCAGTACACGCCCCCCCACAGGGGATGACTACCAAGGGCATATTGGTGTAAGATACTCCAGTGTCCTCCATGGTGAGTCCAGTGTTCAGGTAGCTTTCCAAATTGAAGCTACATGAGCTTGTCCTTGTAAGAGAGCAGGACTACTTACTAAGGAATAGAATGTTCTAGATGTGGCTCTCATTTCTAACCTAGGAGTGCTGACAGCATATCAGTCCTCCATCAGCGCGATGTTGGCCCTGGTGTTCTTTTCCCTTCACCCTCCTACCTCCATAAATCCACTTTTTCAAGAAATGAAAATTGAATTCTTTCCCATCTTTTCATTTCTGTCACTTCTTGCACAAACTTTAATTTGTTCCCTTTTTGGTTTTTCTAATGACTCTTGGCAGTACACAGAGTTTAGGCAGTCATTTTCCAGATGCTGTTCATATATACCAGCATACCTCCCCACTTCACTTCTGTGCCTGCAATCTTTGACGGCAACTCCAAAATGTCCATTATAATGAAATCAGGCAGGGAAGCAATCTGGCGTGAGGTTAGGTATCTCTGGGAATGAGTTTAAACAAAATGGGCAGTGCAACTTCAGATCCCCACTCACCCTGACCCCCATAGAACCTTGGCTGCAATGGCCCCAGCTCTGGATTTGTGCTTTTCAGTTGGGCTGAGCCATGCAATAGCCAGCCACTTTCCTTCCAAGAAGACATGATGTAGCCTCCCTGGAATGCACTACCTGTGGATGGAACCACAGGTTCTCTCTAGCTAGAGGAGGAGTGGCCGTGCTGCATGACACCTAGAGAAGCACAGATTGTATACTCTGAAGAAAGTGGCTAAATCCTGAAGAACACCAGGACTTTTTCTCTCCCATTTGGAACCCTTCAAACTTCAAGGAATCTTGACATTGTTGTGGCCGAAGGGTTGTCCAGTTGAGGACAGCCAGCCCAAACCCTATTACCCACCCCTCCTGGCTTTGCCCCTAAAGTGGGGACCCTCTGAGAAGCAGGGGTGACTGAAACACTGTGATCTCCCCCAGCCTCAAACCACTTGGACCTGAATGAGGGGTTTTTACTGGCAGCTTTCCCACTTAGCACAACTAATAAGGAGCCTCAGATTCCTCCTTGGCATTTGAGGTAGATTAAACCTCAGGGCTTCTGGTGTGGTGCTGCCGGTTAATGCAGTAAACTGTTATGTCAGTTTAGGCCGTTTAGGCTTGCAGTTCCAACTCACCAACTGCTCCTTGGAAACCCTGTACAGGGTCGCTATGAGTCAGATCCCAACTCCATGGTACTTAGCAACAACAACAGCAACAAAACCTCAGGGCAACCCTATGTGTATCAGAGTAGAACTGTGCTCCATCAGGTTGTCAGTGGTTTGCTTTGTGGAAGTCCATTACCAGCCAGGCCTTTTGTCTGAGGTGTTATGCCATGAGTTCAGTAAGTCACAGTTAGACCTCAGGGTGAGAATAGACAATGTCTCTTTAAACCCATGTACTTTCATTTCCACAACAGTCAACTTCTTAGAATATGTAAAAGTGGTAGTTAAGGATTTAAAAAACACTTCTATAGTGATTTTTATCTGTCAGTACAGTAGTATCTGAGGAGTGCTGGTAGCACATAGTGGGTACAAGTCAGGCTGCTAATCTCACAGTCAGCAGTTTGAAACTACCAGCTGTTTCGTGGGAGAAAGATAAGGCTTTCTGCTCCCATAAAGATTTATAGCCTTGGAAACCCTGTACAAGGTCTCTATGAGTCAGAATGGACTCCACCGTATACCACCACCCCAACCACAGTAATATGTGAACATTTTGACTCATTGAATTCCTGTCACCTCTGAAGGTAGGTGCTGTTTGCACTTGCATTTTATAGAAGAGGAAATCAAGGTATAAAGAGGTTCCGTAACTTAGCCCAGGTCACAAACCAGCAGTGGCAGGGGTAAGAGTAATTGGCAGGAAGTCTAGCTTATGCATGTTCGCTGTTGTGCCAGCTGGACTACTTCCGGAGCTTCCAGTTCCAGGACGACAGGAGGAGGAGTAGCTGAGGACATTCCCCTGACCCACGCCTGACAACTTCTCCCTACCTGCCCAGGAGATATGTTGCCCTCCCCCTACTTTCTGTGAACAGGCCCCAACCAGAGGGAGTTATTTGGACCCAGTTGGGCTTCCTCTGACCACAGTCCTTCAGGGAGGTTTTGATATCAGAGCTAGCAAGAAATGATAGAGGCCCTGTCCTGCCTAGAGGGAGGGAGTCATGTGGCTGTCAGCCCACAGTTGTTCAACCTTATGGAGAAAGCAGGCTAGAGGATGAAGTAGAAGAAGGATCTGGTTCCTACTCAGGGAGCAGAGGTATTACACTCCTGCCCATCCTGAGTCACACCAGAATCCTGCTCTCCAGTGTAAGTTGTGTTTATTGACTAATATTGATGCCCAGTTAGCTCTGGTCCTTGTTGAAGTCATCACTGCTTATCTGGAATGTTGCAGTGGCTTCACATAACTCTTTTACTTACAATTGTGTCATTTCCCAGCCTGCCCCCCAGGCCTGCAAGCGTATTGTGGCTAAATGCCTTTGAATCCATTTCCACACGTAGCAGCCCTGTATTGGGTTTCCGAGGAATGGGTGGTGGGTGCTTATCCTACAGTGCCGTATCAGCCTATTAGATGCCTACTTTTTGTCCAGTGTCATCTGTGTATGGCCCTCAGGTGCTCACATACTCCATTCCCTCTGTTGAGAACACGCTCTTGGGAGACCCCACACTCATGCCTCAGAACTCAAGAGGGCTTCCTGCTCCCTGCCACTGTTCCCCTACAGAACCCCACAGGCACTTATGCTCAGCAGATATGCCTATGGCATTAGGTGATCTGGGAAATAGCCTAACAGAGCAGGTTTGGGAGCAGCAGGCACTGCCTGCTTACCTAGCTCACTTGTGGGAGTCAAGATAAAGTTCACAAGTTATCAGGGTTCAGTAGAGTCAGCATGTGCTGCATGAGCCCAGTACTGACTGTCTGCTCATCCGCTGCTTTCCCCTTTGCCTTGTGATAGGAGGCTGTAAGGGCAGCATGTTGTTAAACGCCATCAAGTCGGTTCTGACATAGCAACCCTGTATAGGGTTTCCCAGGAGTGAGTTTGAACCACCAACCTAATGGTTAGCAATCCAGTGTTTATCCTACAGCGCCACAGCTGCCCTCTCCCACAGCTTTGCTCCATGATGCCTTTGGGTCTCCAGCAGGGCGTGCACATGTTGGCGCTGCAGCTTGGTAAGTTCAAGTAGACTCCATGGGAAGAGAAGGCATGCACTTCCTTGGCGGTCAGTGTGCTTTTCTCTTCCTTTAGAATGTGCCAAAGTGTTCCATGCTGCAGGTGCTAAGCTGGTGCTCTGCGGCCGCAACAGGAAGGCCCTGGAAGAACTCACCAAAGACCTTGCTACTCAATGTGCCACCAAGGTGAGCCCAGGGTTATGTTGTCTGTTGGGGTTGAGCCCAGCTCACTGGCTCCCTACGGTTTGTACCAGCCACTATGCAAATGGCAGCACCCAAGGCTCCAGGCCCCAAAGCAGCCTGGGTCTCCTGACTTGTGGTGCCCTTAAGCCTCTCAGTCCTAACTGGGACAAAGTCCTGCCTCTGCCATTTAGTGGCACAGGGAGGTTCCCGCTGTGGAGAAGAGTGTCCCTGGCTCCCTTTTACCTGGTTAGACTGTTCACCTAAGTCAGAGTTTCACACCTTCAATTAGAGTCCATGTTTTCCCTGTTAGGCCCTATGCCTCTGGAGAGCAGCAACCGTGTCTGTCTTGCTTTTTGCTGTGTGCTAGTGCCTGGCACAGAGGGAATGTGCAAAAACTGTTCTCAGGAGCAACTGGATGGAACTGCATGTCCTGAGCAGGCCACTGTTTCTCAGCAGATACCATGAAAATGCCCGGGTACCATGAAGCACAGCCAAAGGCCCCTTGACTTCACCACCAGACTGAATCCTTCAGAGCAAGGCTGACCATGCTAGTCCAGCATGCCTTCTGCACATATCTGTGTGGTCTCTGCCGTGTGAGCTTCGCCCTGTGGAATTCAGTGTGTGGGTGACACATTTGGCTGTCGTTCCTGGTATCTGTGCATTTTCCATGAGAAAGTACCTCGGTCAGGACCAGGCACTGTCAGCAGGACCTTCTGCAGCCTGCTCACTGGCTCCTCCCAGGACCCCTGGGGACCCAGAAGGTGAATTTTGCTATCTTTGCCCAGGTGCAGACACACAAGCCTTACGCAGTGACCTTCGACCTGGCAGACCCCAACACCATTGCTGCTGCGACAGCTGAGATTCTGAAGTGCTTTGGCCATGTAGATATACTGGTCAACAATGCTGGTATCAGCTACCGTGGTGCCATCGTAGACACCACTGGAGATGTGGACAGGAGAGTGATGGAGACAAACTACTTTGGTCCTGTTGCTCTAACGAAAGGTAATTTTACCTAGAGGGTAGGGAGTAGGGGGTGGGAGAACAGAGCCCTGAGCTATGGCTGTGTTTTCACTTAGACTTGTCAGTTAAACATGCTGTCCCTGTCTTCTACTTTACCCAGAAGTGGGTGTTGTCGAGCTGGGGGCATTTATTTGCACTTTCTCTCTCTGCTTTATAACCTCAAATCAAGACTTATTTTCCTTAGTGACAGTTTAGTCTACATTGTGCTGTCCGTCCCCCACCCCTCAGTGTCTTACACCCTACAAAGTATGAGAGTGAGGGTGTGTTCCTGTCCAGTAGTCTGCAGGAGAGGCTCTACATACACAGGGCCAGGGGCTACACTGCCATGGAGAGGACCCAGGCTGTTAGGCCATCTCCATTCCTGCTCCCCTCCCCTCTCCTCCCCTCCTCACCCTCCTGCCTGCAGAGTGCTGGGCATAGGAAGCCTCAGTTCCCCACCTTGAAGGGCTTTCAATGCTAACTATCGTAAGCCTGGTTTCCTTGGTGCCAGGCAGGCCTCCTCAAGTCTAGCCCTCTCTCCTTAGCACTTCTGCCTTCCATGATTGAGAGGAAACAAGGCCATGTTGTCGTGATCAGCAGCATCCAGGGAAAAATCAGCATTCCTTTTCGATCAGCCTGTAAGTACTCCTCCTTCCCCTAAAAGTGTTCCTTGTTTGTTATTAAGTGCCATCAAGTGGGTTCCAACTCCTAGTGACCCTGTATAGCGTTCCTGAGGCTGTGACTCTTCACTGGAGCAGAACATTCCTACAGTACCTGTTTACTATCCAGAATTCACACATTACAGAAATACATTGTACAGGATGGAAAGAAATGTCACCAGAATGCAAACTCCTGAGTCAAACAAATGAATTTAAATGTAAGTCCCAGTGCCACTCCTCATCCTGTGTCTAGCATGGGGCTAGTGCTCCCTCTTGGTACCTCTGGCCTCGTTTACAGAATAGGATGGTCACAGAACCAACCTGAGAGCTAGTGAGGAGATCTGTACACCAGTTAATCTGTGTGTACTGTGAGGAAAGTGGATGGAGCAGCACAGGAACTCGGCACTGTAAAAGGATCAGCCACGACTGCTGGCAGTCCTAACAATTGGCATCGTCTTCCCACAGATATAACCAGTGGTGCATTTGGGGGCAGGTGCACAATTTTTTCTACATATAATCAAGCAGATACAGGATTGTGTTTTGTGGTTGTCTTACTCCTCCCGATAGTTCCTCAGTCTGTATCAGCACAGCAGTGCTGGCTTACCATTCGGTCCGGTTTTGTGATCCACTTATGTAGTCATTTCCTACTGGTAGGCATGGAAAGAATTCTTCCCTAGGGTCTGGCCTGTGACCATCAGCAATATTGTGCTGTATAGAACCTCCTAATAATCTCTCGGCTCTGCTGGACGGTTTCAGTGTGATAAATTCCACCAACTTGAAACACTGGGTGGTTGTTAAGTGCCAGCAAGTCAGTTCCAACTCATGCAACCCTGTATAGGGTTTCCTAGGAGCAGCTGGTAGGTTTGAACTACAGACCTTGCTGTTAACAACCCAGTGCTGATCCTACAGAAATGCTGGGTAGTAGCCAAAAATCAAAACTGTCAAACTGACTTCCAGTTCACTGTCCTCCACACACCTGAGAATGAGTGCACCAGAACTAGCTCACCAGGAAAGAAGTAGGGTATCTGAGGTGTTGGGGGTTTTTTTTAAACACCTTTTCTTATGGATTGAGTGAAGGTTTACAGATCAGATCCGATCATCAGTTTTACATCCAACCAATCAGAGCCTTTGTCCCATGTCAGTGATGGCAATCCTCTCCATGTAACATCACATGTTACACTTCCTCCCTGTTTCTTGTTTCCATTCTTCTCCTTTCCCAACCATTATGAACTCTGTCCTTGGGTAAATGCTCTTTTGATGTCAATTGGTTGTGCATTCTGTGGTGTGAGTGCCTCATTAAGTATTGTCCTTTCTGTATACCAATTGATTACTTGGCTGAAAATTGAGCCACCAGGGTGAGTTCAATCCAGAGTTGAAGGATGACCAAGGGCCGTAATCTCGGGATTCTACCAGTCTATGTTATCATAAGGTTGGTCTTTTTTTTATGATCTTGAGCTTTGTTCCACCTTTCCTTCCCCTCTACCCAGGATGTTCTGATATGATCTCTAATAGAACAGTTGGTCTCAGTGTCGTGGAGACTGATGTTCACCTGGTCTGTTACTCCATTGGACTCGTTGATTCCAAGCATCTTCCATTTTCATCACTCTTCTCCAAACAGGGAGAGACCAGTAGTTGCACCTTAGATGACTACTTATGAGCTTTAAGATCCCAATCATTACTTACCAAAGTAGAATGTCAAACATTGTCTTTGTGGACCATGTTATGGCAGTTGACCATGGTGTATGGGGGTTGTTTTTAAGCTGTTGGAAATCATTTCACAGCTGGTTCTAGGAGTGCATTTCTTTGTTGCATTGTCTGAGAGGACGTACTGACTTATCACAGCCATGTCTGCTCAAATCCAGCACCTGTGGATCTGTCAGAAGGGCTGGACCTTTCTTTTCACTCTGAAATGACAGTGACCAGAGTCTAGTCCCACCACCCTACTGCAGCCCATCATCTGAACAGGAAATGTGGCAAGTGTGGCACAGTAGGATAAGCACCGGACCAGAAGGTCGGCTTGAATGTCAAGGTCTCCGGAAACCCTATGTATACAGGGTCATTATGAGTCAGCCTCAGTGGCACTTACCACCATTCTTTCAGACATGAATCCGAGCTCTGCCTTTAGTTGTAGCTGTATGATCTTGGGAGGAGCGCTCATAGGGCAGTAGCAAGACATCGGTGGTACAAACTCATCAGTGCTCCATGGATGTGGCCGTCAACTTCCACAAAGATTTATAGGCTTAGAAAACCTATGGGTTTTCAGTTCTCCTGACTCAACTGCAGTGGGTATGGTGTTTGGGTTGGTACGACCTTGAACAGATTACCTACCTGTCTGCCTCTCAGGGTCCTTACTTATCACAGGACACTCACAGTCATTGCAACTGCCTCCTTGGCTGTACAGGTAGTGAATGAGATAGCAGACAAGGTGAATTCTGTGGAAGCTGTGGCACTCACTGTCCTGTGTGTCTTGTTGGCTCGCCTTCAGCTCAGAGAGCAGGAGACAGCATGGCCACTCAGATGGAAAAGACATCATTTGTGTAATTACAAACAATTAAGCAACTAAAGTCAATTGTTGGTGATTATGTGCCATGCAGTTGGTTCTGACTCTTAGCGACCCTGCACAGGGTTTCTGAGGCTGTAAAGCTTTACAGGAGCAGAACGCCTCATCTTTCTCCCGCGGAACCGCTGGTAGTTTCAAACTGCTGACCTTGAAGTTTGCAGCCTGATTCGTAACCACTACGCTAGTCAATTGTTAGTAATAGGTAAATCTAGGCAAGGATTTAGTGTTCTCTGTACTTTTTGTGTTCTTGCAATTTACGTGCAAGTTTAAAATGATTCCCACAGTCCACTTGAGTTTAACTGCCTAATCTTTGGTCTCTAGTTGAGCTTGCTTGCAGGAAACATCCCTGATGGCCTAGTGCTGCCTGGTGGGTCAGCGTTCTTGCTGGACAATGATGTGACCCACACATGCTGGTCACTTAGTCAGGAAGTCCCTGTACCAGGCCTACCCACAGGGTACAGCCATCGGCAGATCCGTATGAGGACCTGCTCTTTCCTGGGCTGTACCCCTAGAATTATGGCCAATAGGAGCAGTTTCCCTCCACTCCCCAAACTATCCAGCCCCGAACTATATGCAAACCTGAAGGCACTATCTCTGAAAGACTGCAGTAAGTTCAGAATCCAAGTGGTACCTTTGGCAACTTCCTGTGACACGTCCTTGATCTTTCCCTGTTTTTCTTGGCTGATGGATGCCCCTTTCCTAGAGTTACAACGTTCTGAGCTCTGAACAAGCGAGAAGGCCGGTTTCTGTTGCCATGCCCATGCTTGGTGGGTGGAGTGTTGTGGAGAACAGAGGCACAAGCCCCAGCACCCTGGAGAAGACAAGTGGAGGGTTCCTGGAGAGCATGGGCCAAGCTGCACTCATGAGCACAAGGTGCTCACTGGACACAGCCAAGACCATTGGCAGAGCTGAGCCTGGCTGACAAAGCGGCCCAGCAGAGTGCATGCGCCTTCAGCAGTGTGTGGCTCTGCAGGGGTACTATGGACAGTATGGGTTCATTCCTGAAACACAAAACTACAGAGTATATGAAAATTAAGTCATGAGAAACTGTCAGCATCAGTCACTTCTGGGGAGTGGGATGGAATCAGGAGGACTTCCAGTTTTTCAGGTTTATCCTCTGTACTATGTGAATGGAAAAATCCCATTTCCATTAAGTTAGCCCTTGACCCATAATTATCCCATGTACTAACAGAGTGGAATTGCTCCTTGGCGTTTTCTTGGCTGTAATCTTTCCAGAAGCTGATCATCAAGCCTTTCTTTTGCAGTGTTTCTGGGAGAATTCTGAACCACTAACTAACCTTTGGGTTAGTAGCTGATTACAAACCACTTGCACCACCCAGAGACCTATGTTATACCCAGTAGGCATTAATTTCTATGTTAACTTTTAATATGGGACAGTTTCCAGTGTAAAGAAATATTGCAAGAACTGTACAAAGAACTCCCACATAACCTTCACATGGATTTCCTGATTGTTCGTTCACATTTTATCTTTTCTTTTTACTGAGCCATTTGAAAGAAAGATGGAAACACAGTCCTTCAATATTAAATACTTGAGTGTTTCCTAAGAACAGGGCCCTTATCAAAAGCATTCGAGAGGAGGAATGGAGAAGGTCGTAAAGGCTCCATGCCGGTGTCCCACCTCAGCACTCTTACCTGCCTCTCTTTGCCACACCTTGCAGACGCAGCATCCAAGCACGCAACCCAGGCATTCTTCGACTGTCTGCGCGCAGAGATGGAGCAGCATGAAATTGACGTGACCGTCATCAGCCCAGGCTACATCCACACCAACCTTTCCCTAAATGCCATCACTGCTGACGGGTCCCGATATGGAGGTGAGGTCTGACGCTTCCTGCGTGAATGGTGACACTTGCGCTGCTCTTTACCTGAGTAGGTCTCTGGTCATTCTCATGTAAAATAGGACTTTTCCAATCATAAGTCTTGCTCTGTGGGTGCTATTTGTAGAGATGGCCCTTTCCCACCTTGAGCTAGCTGTCATCCGTAAGTGCCGTTGAGTCGGTCCAATAGGAGCAGTTGGTTGAGTTTGAACCCCCGACCCTGCAGTTCAGACCAACCTTGCAGTCCCAGTGCATTATCCTATGGCACCACACCAGGACTCCCTTCACACAAGCATTAATGCTGTGGCTTTTGAAGCCAGCCAGGGCCTTAAGAGGTGGAAAGTCTTCAGAATGGAGCTGACCTGGCCTGCAGACACCACTTGGGTCACTTGGCCCAACATGTTCAGCAGAAACCAGGAGGTTCCTGCCACTCAGGTCAGAGCTGACCTGTACATACTGATGCCTTGAAGCTGGCTCTGCCCCTTGTCCCTGCAGCCTTCCACCACCACTCATCCCTACACCACCCACCAGGCCTGTGTCAACATAGCCCTGCACTGGCAGGCACACCTCTCTCAACAGGCATTTTTCTCCACAACAGAAACTAGAGGGGAGTGTGGGGCTAGGGGACTTTGTACAGACTTAGACCAGGAAGATGCTTTTTAAAAAGATCTTTCTTTTGGCATCTGGAAATGAGAAACAGTCAGAAACCTTTTCTTAACAGAAATACAATGAGAACAGGCCACTGTCGAGGAAGTTCAGGGGCCGGTACAACCTGAGTGACGGCCACCTGTGCCTGGTGGCTTCTGCCTGCCAGCTGGTTAGGCTTTACTGGAAAATCACGAGGGAAGGAGGAGCATCCGTTGCTATTGAGCTAACACCTCCTAAACTCCCCTCAGCTGTCTCATGTAACCCCTAAAATGAACCAAGACCTCTTCCGTGTTCCTTACCCAGTTCACACATGGCATGGCATCAGGAACTGAGAGGGGTCTGTACTCCCACTCATCCTTCACTTTAGCTTCCGGTGAGCTCATATGCACTGAAAGCAATGGTCTGCGCCTATCTATCGTTAGACCTGAAACCAAGACATCCCTTAGTGAGTGACTGCTTCCAACAGGCAAAGTTCTCCTCAGGTGGAGTGTGAGAGGGTCCCTCTCCGAGATCCCATCTAGGCTGGCCTTCACCTTAGTGTTAACAGACTCTCTTGTTTAAAGCACTGAACCTGCAGTTCCCCTATCTAATAGCTGCGACATGCCCTCCTGGCCCCTGCTACTGGGAAGCCCCAACCTCTCATTCACAAACCCAAGCTCCTCCATGTTGTGAGATGTGAAGTTGCGCTCTATTTGACTATGGCAGAGCCTGTCATCTTCTTAAAGGCCAAGTCATAAGCCATTTGGGGGGTCTTCCTCTGCTTTACTCTTTGGCCCCCTAACCACCTGCCTCCCTCATCACTCTCCAGCACGTGGTGAGCCTGCTGGCCAGGGATTTGAGCCTGTTATCCATCCCTGTGCCCTCTGATGTGATGCACATGCATGCTACACCAACTAGGAGGGTTTCCTAGAAACATGTCTAGGAAAACCATATTTCTTCCTGAATCCTGCTACAGATGCCACCTTGGACTTTGTCACTGGGCTGCTACCTGCATCACCTCAGCTTGTCTCTCTCACTAGCCTGAGGGATGTGCTGCCAGAGGTCCTCAGTGAGTGTTTATAGCACAGCAGGCCCACTGACCCCCTGTAGAGCCAGGCTTTGAGTACAACCCTTAACTAGCCATTGATCCCAGGAACACAGAACTCCACTGGCACCAGAGGAATAAACCAGAGGGTATGGGGATTTTCTGAGTTCCAGAACTACTGCTAAAAGACCTCCCTGAGACCCACTTTCCCAGTGAACAGCATTTCCATAGGGTAGAGAATCTGAGGCGCTCAGCTCTGGTAGCATAGTGGTTACGAGTTGGGCTGCCAACCTCAAGGTCAGCAGTTCGAAACTACCAGAGGTTCCATGGGAGCAAGATGAGGCTTTCTGCTCCAACAGCGATACTCTACCTGCCTCCCAGTTGCATAAGGGACACAGTGGTGGACCTAAAGGTTGTACCAGCCCAGGTCCCTGAGGGACTTGTTTCCATGTTCACATGTTTATTTTGCTTTCTTCTGTGTGTGTTTTAGTTATGGACAAGACCACGACCCAGGGCCGGAGCCCCACAGAGGTGGCCCAAGATGTCCTTGCTGCCGTGGGAAAGAAGAAGAAAGACGTGATTCTGGCTGACCTGCTTCCTTTCTTGGCCATTTACCTTCGAACTCTAACTCCTGGTCTCTTTTTTAGTCTCATGGCTTCCAGAGCCCGAAAGGAGCAGAAATCCAAGGACTCCTAGACCTGGCTAGAGCTCGAGTGAGGAGAAGGTACTTTCCCAGGTGTTGTTGGCCTACAAAGAACAGATGGTTGTCTCTATGGGACTTGAAGGAGATTTGTTTTTGTTGGGAAAGATGCACGAGCATGTCTGGAGTCCTGTGACCAACCTCCTGCTGGCAAAGAATGGGAGCCAAAGGTAGCCAGGCTCTTCCCAGGAGCAAGTAAACATGGAAAAAACAAGGAGTGAGTGCAACAGGCAAGAGGCAGGATCCTTAGGGATTCACAAGACCACACCACCTTTGAACTCCAGCCTCTGCAGCTCCTATTTTGAAATCAGAAGTTATGATGTCATCCAACTCAGTTGCTGTCACCTCTGACTTACCCAAGGCCACTTACCTAGTTGTTTTGGCAGAGTCCACCTCCGGTACTAGAAGAACAAGGCTATAGTTACAAAAAACCATTGTTCATATTCACTTCCAGGCCCACTAATCCTCCAGTCAGTGTAGAAGACGGGTGTACCACCAGGGAGCAGGCATCATCCATGGAGAAGACTGCAGGCCTCAGCACACTGTGGCTAAGCACAGAGGGCTGGAGAGCCCTGTAGTCATCTGTGTGTGCCTCTGGGATACTGCTCAGGGTGGTTCTGTGAACAATAGGCTCACAGATCCAGCAGTTATTAATTCTAACTTCTGGTATCCAAGCCAAAAAGAATAACTGCTTTCCCCTTTTTCATGTATTAAAAATAATGGTTGAGGTTCACTGAGTACGTCAAATTCAGTTCCAAAATTTAGGAAGAACGATTTCTATTGAAATTGACAGTTACAATGAAATCGTTTCTGGGTCTGCTGAAGACTTCCAAGACTGGCACTCTCGTTGTCATAGCTCTGACCTGAGGAGGATGGATTGTTGATGCTGCCCCAAGAGTCCCTGGGGAGAAGGGAGTAGGTGGTGGGATCTAGGAACTTAGCCACTCACAGCACACCTTAGGCATCCCAGGTCTCCTCAGCTAAAACATGGGCACAGGTATGATAGGGGGGCTCCGTTTTCTATGTCCACCTCATGTTGAAGGGAAAGACCTTAGTTTACATGCTAGACATTAAAATCGGAGCTGGCACACACCCCTCTAAAGGGAAGCCCTGTCTGGAGTCTAATTAAATGGCTAAGTGCACAACTGGTTCTAATCTGTCCTTCCTGAGAGTAGCTCTCCTTGGGCTGACACTTGGTTTCATGTCCATGTCTTTTTTCTCTCTCCAGGAACTAAAGTCGTCAGCAAGTGATGATCCCCAAAACAGGAATCCAAGTTTATTAATTCCTCATATGTGCAACACTACACACTAAGATGGTTGGTTGTGTAGCCAGTGTAACATGTGGCCAGGAGCCCACCGAGCCCTAACTCGGGTATAGGTCAATACCTGGTGCATGGAGCAAAGTACTGAGGGGTTTCCCAGCCTAAACATCCCCCTTACACTTCACGCATCCAATACCGTTAGTATGATCATCTTCACTTGATCTTCTACCATATATGGAAATCCAGTATGCCCTTGTTATAAATGGTAATACAATGCAAATTGAGCAATTATTTTTGTTATT